CCTCCTCCTCCTCCTCCTCCTCCTCCTCCTCCTCCTCCTCCTCCTCCTCCTCCTCCTCCTCCCTTCCTCCTCCTCCTCCTCCGTCCTCCTCCTCCTCCTCCTCCTCCTCCTCCTCCTCCTCCTCCTCCTCCTCCTCCTCCTCCTCCTCCTCCTCCTCCTCCTCCTCCTCCTCTCCTCCTCCTCCTCGTGGTGGTGGTAGTTGTGGTGGTGGTGATGATGACGATGTTGTTGTTGTTGTTGTTGTCGAGGTTATTGCTGAGGTTGAGGATTTCTGAAACTAAGAGCTCTCTTCTCTCTTCCTCGCTCTGACATTCTTCTCTGCCACGAGCAGGAAGGACGGCAAGCTCTGTGTCAGCAAGAAGAACGAACAGCAGCAGGAGCTTGTCACAGAATACCAGAAGATAGTCCAGATCACAGCACAGGACATCATGAAAAGGCTCGACCTTCCCGTCGCTCTACTCTCCACTAGCATGCTGGCTCCGATCGTCTCTGCCAGGAAGGATGTGGGAAATCCTGTCGTTCACTCTTCTCCTACGCTCCCTGCTCCTCCCTCCACCTCTCCTCCTGCTGCTCCGAAGGTGAAGGCGGGCGGTGAAGAGGAGGGAGGGAGGAGGGAGGAGCAGCGGGAGGCCGCTGCCGTCGCCCAGGCTGCTCCGGAGGGGAGGAAGTGGGCGGAGGGAGAGGACGAGAGGATGGGGAACGCGGAGAAGGAGGTGGAGAATCGCAGGCTAGACCATACCAAAGTTGCTGACGTCATCGCCAAGTTCCGAGAGTCTTCGGAGACGCTGGAGGAAACTGACGAAGAGACGGAGAGGCCGCTGGGGGAAGACGCTGTCAGCGAGCTCCTGGTGCAGGACAGGAACTTCGATGCTGCTTCCAACAATGAGATGGAGGAGTCGGACGACGACACTAGGAGGTCGTCCATGCTGGAGGAGCAGGGGGAGGCCGGGAGGATAGACAACGTAGAGTCTCCAGCGTTGAACAGCATGACGGACTTCGATGGCATGCAGGACACGCAGGATGTATGCTCTCATGCTCTGATGGTCTGACGGCTGACTGTGCTCGCAGGGGTCGGACAAGCGGGATGATGGGTCGAGCAAGACGATGGTGGTGGAGGATGCGGACGAGGTGGTGGAGGAGAAGGAGGAGGAGGAGGAGGGAGGAGAGGATGGAGAGGGAACAGAAAAAGACGGTCAGATCGAGCTGTTTGGACCCGACGAGAACCCGAACAGTCCGGTGCAAACCAACTTATCAAAGTCGGAGTTGCACACCAGCGATGATGGCTTCGTTCACTCGCCAATCGAGGTTGTGAAGTGACGAGATGTTCTGTTTGATGAGAAGAGATGAGAAGAGAAGAGATGTGATGAGATGTGATGTGATGTGATCAGTGCGATTAGCGGTGCTCGTTGTCTTTTGTTGTCTGATCGTGCGATCATTTGAGTTTTTCAACCTTTCCTCACTTCCGTCGTCCCGCTGTTCCTCAACTCCATTCTTCTACCTACCTGGTCTTCCCTTCACTTCCTTTCTCTTCCCTTCACTTCCTTTCTCTTCCCTTCACTTCTGCATTCTTGGCATCATTCCTCCTGTCTTTGTTCTCTTGCTCGTCTTGCCGTACAAACTTGTGGAGATCGAGATTGTTCGCCTTAGACTCTCATTGCACTTTTTTTCCATAATCCGCATTCTCACATCTTCACTTATTCTTGTGATGTTCACCCACTCGCTGACTTGATCGTCAAGGTGGGAGAAAGTACAACAGAAACTGTTGAGATGAAGAAGATGCCGAGTGGGAGGTCGCCCATGAGGCTGAAAAGTCCAAAACCTCAGAACGAGCAAGTCAAGTGGTTCAAGGGTGAAGGAAGGCAGATCACGGTAAGATGATGATGATGATGATGATGATGATGATGATGATGATGATGATGATTGAGCTGATGATGACGACAACAATGATGGCGAGGATGATGATGATTCACCTCCCTGTCTTATTCATCTCCTGACTATCGTCTTTGTATCAGCAATCTCTCAACAATTCAACAAGGAGAAAATTTCGAGTATTCGCCCAAGCTGACAAAGTGAAAGGATCCGATATCAACCCAGCCCAGTGAGAATTTTCTTCCTCCTTCCCTTCCCCTCCTTCCCCTATCCCCAACACACTCCTGAACTCCCTCCCCTCTCT